ATTTTAGAAAAAAAATATTTTTATTTTGAGTGCAACAACTCCGAGAGGCACATCAACGGGCGTGTTTTCACGCGTAGATTCCATTTCTCCAAACAGAATTCAATAAAAAATGAAACTGAAAGAGAAAAAAGCGAAAAACACTTTTTAGCCATTTGTCCCATAAGACTTGCATGTTAACTTTGACGGGCCGGCGCGACCTTTTACTTGTGTCCAAAAAATCTGAAAAAAATATTTTTATGCCTATTTTTGGACAGAGAACGAGATAGGACCCCGCCCCCTCGACATTTAAATACTTTTGCGAAAATGAACGTATCTACCCACCCCTACATGGCGTCAGGAGCCAGTCGTGACGCTTATTACGCACCTCTGACACATCCTTCAAATTCCTGAGGTAAAGGGTGGCCTCCGGGTCTTGCGCGCACGCTGTCAGGAGAGATGTAAGACCACGGGCGGTCAGGGTGTTGACCTCATCTCCAAAAGGCTTTTTGCACAGAAAACACACCTCCATGTTAAGCGAGGTTCACCGTGTTGATCATAGTTACCATGCCGACAATAGGGGCCTAGCCGGCCACACAGCGCCGCGGCGGCCATGCCTGCTCATGCACAGTAGGCTTTTGTTCTTCCCGCAAGTCTTCTCCAAATCTGCCGCCGGAAGACTCTATTCTATACGAACAGTGGCGTTTATATTTCAAACAGTATTTATTTGTACGATTTGAAGAGAATGTCACTCTGGCGTGAGCGCAGCGAAAAAACGACCAAGTTCTCAACTGGATATCGCCGGATATAGCACTGGTCGTAAACGGAACACTGAACGGTAATCAGTTTGCCATCTACAATGGGTAATTATTATCAGATATTGTGACTGAACCTTCAGAAAGTAAATAGGGGTGGAGCACTCACCATCTGTCCGCAGTAACTTTTTAAGTGCTTGAATTCACCGAAAAGCTCAGGCATCGACATTCCGGGATTCGCCCGGAGAACGTCCACACGATAGGGATATGTTTCCATCAGTAATAAACTGATTCTACGCAGGGCACCTGCACTGTAAAAAGGAAAACCGATTTTCGGTTGATTTTCGACCGGAAACTGGGGTTGAATGAAAACGGATCAAAATCGTGCCGAAAATGCCCCGTGTTGAGGAATTACGATTTGACCGAAAATCGGAGCAGTTTCTTTACCGGTTTTCGGTAGTTTTCTTCGCCGTTTGCCGTATACGTTCTCGCACATCGCTGTGCTTTGAGGTTATCGTCAACAACCAGAAAACTCAAAATTCAAACAGGTATGATAATTACGCTGGTATTTCTTATTGAGTATTGCAACTTGGCCACGGAGACGTGTAGAAAAGGTTATGTAAGTGAAATACATAACCTCAAAGGTAGTACAGTTTGCAGTCAGATTATTGCCGCTTCTGGAGTAAAGCATTCCGGTAAATCTAAATTGTAGAAAAATGCAGGGAACAAGAAAACGGAAGTCGCCATGTTCAAGCAAAGTGATTTTTGTTTTGTTGTTACCCGCATTCTTCTTCTTTTCAGCTTTACCCTAATGCTTTCTCCAAGTCCAGGGGCGATAAGAAGAAGAAGCGTAAGGAACAAGAGGTAAACCATCACCTCTCGGGAGATACCCTATGATGACTTTGACGGTTTGTTCAGGATATAGGTAAAAGGATCGATAGAGTATGTTTTTCATAATCTATACTGACGAAGAACGACGTCCTGTGGTTTATCCGAGAGGTGCAGATCGAAAGATATGCACACAGGGCTAACATAACCTCACATCTCACTAACCTCGCGGCGAATGCGTCGAGCGGGAGGGACGGCGTGCGATCCGTTTACATCCCTTGCCATGAAACTAGGACAATTAAATTTTGGAGTTTCGAAAGGTTATATTTATGCCGCTGTACACTTTAACCCAAACGTAACGGGTGATAAGTTCTGTACCGAAATGCTCGATACTCGAACCGGAAATCGGTCCAAAAATTCACGTTTTTGTCACAACGGCTCCAGGGTGTAAAGCGGTTCGTCGTAATAACGTTTTTCGGCGCGTCGCTGCTCCGCTTTTGTTCAACCCCGTTTTTCGGTGCGATTCCTTTTTCGGACGCTGTTTTCGGAGTCCGAAAATCGGTTTTCCTTTTAACAGTGTGGCGTGTCCTGCATCTGATCAAGTTCATTCTGCAAACAGAATATCATAGAAGTGAAATAAAACGTTTTCCATTACGTGATTCTACAACTACTAGACTGCTAGACCAGGCATTTCGCCAGGGGCGCCCAAACAGGGGTCAAGGTGGGTCGGCTGACCCACCTCAAAATCCCGAAAGGGGAGGTGGAGGAGGGAAAGGGGAGGTAAAGAGGAGAGGAAAGGGGAGGTAGAAAGGGAGGAAAGGGGAGGAGAAAGGAAGAGAAAGAGGAAGAAAAAACGTTAACACTTCGTGTAAACTGCAAAACGAACCCATGATAAAGAAAACTAAATTATATATCCTAATGTAAATAAAGAAGTAAACATTTTTAGTTGGACGGGGTGTGCTTGGCCTATGCTGTCAGCTTATATTGCGTCTTGACCCCTGCGGCATGAAATGGTATGCAAACCCGCAACACTGAACATAGAGGTGTTCGCTCTGACCGAGAGGACCGAGGCACTGACCACCTGCACTGAAAAAAAAAAGAATCATTGTTCCAACGACCGTCGTGTTCTTGTGGCCGGGTTGTTGGTCCAAAGACACGATGTTGCTAACCCTATGACATCCGGTAGTTGTGCCACCGACCATGTCGTTGAGCCAGCAATCATGGTCGTTGGAATAGCATCCTATGTTTCTGAAGCCATTCCAAGAACAAAATGTTGTTGGAGGTGCAACTCATGTCGTTGGTACAATGATTTTTTTTTTTTTTTTGAGTGTGGTGCCTGGATTTAAACAATAATGTCGGTGTGGTAGCACGGATGTGTGCACCGTAGAAAGTTCGATTGACCCCCAGAAAGCTTGGTGGCTGTATAAACATTCTAGAAATTTACTTCATTTAGCTCTCTGTTTTGGGTTTGTGTGCACTGTCAACAGAGGGGCGGCGGGAGTGGCCTCGAGCACAGTGTCTATTGTTGGCGGTATTTCGTGTTAACTGAAAAACAACCCCCTGTTTAGGAATTTAATTGGCATACAAAAATTGAAGTTAGTGATTTTGAAGTTGGGATTATTAAGATGTGCGGCAAAAATAGTACGGAAATGGCGTAGACAGCGTACACCGAATATTGAACAGAACCGTTACGTGACGTCTTACGCTACGTCTTACGTTTTATGAAGACGTAACGTAAGACGTAACGTAAGACGTAACGTAAGACGTAACGTAAGACGTAACGTATGACGTAACGTATGACGTAACGTAAAACGTAGCGTAAGACGTCGCACAGTGCTTATTGTTGGCGGTAATGAGGTAATGTGGAATTGAGATGCAACAGGTGGTCGCGGCGACGTGACGCTCTGGCCCCCCACGCGCGGCCCGTGTGGTAGAAACTGGTTCGTTTATAAAGGGAGAAGGAAAGGGAGGGAAAGAAAGAGAAAAGATAAGGAAAGAAACAAAGGAAGAAGGCGGATAGTACGGGGAGTAAGCCCCGAAAAACGACCAAACCTTGCATTTTACAGTAGAGCAAAACCGTTTGGGGGGTATGTAGTAGACACCCATAGGTCACTTTAAAGATGTGGTGCCCACCTCTACACCGCGACTGGACCGCTCTACGGGGGTTGCATACCTAGCAGGGGCAAAACGATAAAACTAGGTAAAATAAGACTTATTCTGGCCGATATTGGACTCAGTCGTTCCAGAAATGAGAAATATAACGAAATATAATGCCCTGGACCCTCATTGAGCGGGTTGCCTACCTGTAAGGCGACAAAATATCGCAAAATCTTTAAATTACTTACAAACTTCTTTGGCGGCTCATACGCGTGTTCATGCGTGTATATGCGTGTCAGAGGGTGGGTAAGAGTGTGGCAGAGTGTGCGGAGCCGTGTGTATGTGTTGGAAAATGGACGGGGGTTGGGGGGTGAGGGAAAACTCGCTCGTAATCGTACTCATGCAAACGCCTATTCGCGCGTCGTGAGTAGTGCTTGTTAGAGAAACGGTTTCGCAGTAGAGAAAAACCGTTTTGCGGGTATGTAGAAGACACTCATAGGTCACTTTTAAGATGTGGTGCCCACCTCTACCCCGCGACTAGAACGCTCTACGCGGGTTGCATACCCAGTGGGGGCAGACGCGAAAACCACGTTAAGTAAGACTTTTTCTGGCCGATATTGGGCTCAATCGTTGCGGAAACGGGAAATATCACGCCGTATAACGATCTGGCACACATCGAGGGGGTTGCTTGCCTCTCGGGCGATAAAATACCACAAAAACCCGAATTTATAGGCACAAACCTTTAGTGCATCACACCCGTCGTTTGTGGTATACTTTTGAAGGTAAAGCTCGCACAGTAGAGCAAAACCGTTTTGGGGGTATGTAGAAGACACTCATAGGTCACTTTTAAAAAGTGGTGCATACCTCTACCCCGCGACTAGAACGGTCTACGCGGGTTGCATACCAAGTGGGGGCAAAACGCGAAAACTACGTAAAATAAGACTTTTCTGGCCGATATTGGGCTCAATCGTTTCGGAAATGGAAAATATCACGCAGTATAACGATCTGGCGCA